AGGTTCAGCAAGCTAAGAAAAAAAATCAGAGTTTTGAAGATAAATACATTTTCACTAACATGTTATCTGATACATTATTTTTTTATTAAAAAAACCCAGCAGGATCCATAACAATCTATGGAGGTTTCTCTGCTTATTTGTTTATAGACGAATATTCCCTTGATCAGACAGGCCCCAATTACAAGGGGTGTTAGTTCCTTAGCTGATTTCTCAAGGTAGACATTAACATTGAAGTAAAAGTATCCCTCCTGTTTAAAGATATAGAAATGCACAAAAAACGTAGTTCTTTTCTCCTGCTACTGAGATACATGCTGACTTTTCATTAAAAATGCCACAGCTGCCAACCTCTACTGAGATAAAGCAACGAACCTACTCATAAAGAAATGGAAAATTGCAAAAAATATAAGATTTTAAACAAATAAAACTTGAATAATGTTTTCCTTTGGCTTCTTGGCACAGGCTGGTTATCCTGTACAGCAGACTGACTTCTTTTCCCAAGAAGTGTCCATAATAACAAGGGCTAGAAATTGATTTTCAAATGGAAGTTGAGTATAATGAAAACACATGAGTCCAGAAGCTGGGGATTTATGTAAAACACCAAGCACAAAGTCTTGTGACAGAACAGTAAGAGTTATCAAGACTAAATAATTATCAAAAGAACTATCATTTTCCGTTGTTTCAAGGCAAACGAGATTTTGCTAGTTTTAGCGTATATTCCTTTGTTCAGTCAGGAAGATCCATTCTACAAAAGCTCCGTTAATTTCCGATAGGCTGAAAGGAACAACTCTCAGTTTAAAATCTGGAAGATAAGACTTCATCTAACAGTACATTATTTAACATAATGAAATCCACAGGAAAAAAAACGCAAACCCTTTGAGGCTTTATCACACTACAGTAGACTTCAGAGATGCTGATTACGAGATTGCGTTCGTACAAAAACAACACATTAATTACCCGGAGAGCCTTGAAGTGAGCAGAAAGATTGCAAGAGTGGATTATCAAGTCCTCAGTCTTGACAACACTTGGAGCTAGACCTTTTAAGTACTTGGGCACCTACTATGTAGGTATGTGCTATGTGAGGCATTTAGTGGGTGTTGAAAGTCCTACTCGGTGACAATATTCATTTTTGAGTGCCTTTATTCCTTTAAAAATCACCTATCACTTTGGGTTTTTTACACGCAGTTTGAACTTCAGGATAACATCTATGAGAAATCTTAGGAAATTGCCATCCAGATCATGATCTCCTTCTTGATGTTCTAACCCAGAGCAGGCATAAAGACATGTCATGGAAAAAGACCCAAAGCACAAGCATCATATATAAATATATATGATATAGGCAATTATGTGCCACTCTGATTTAGCCATACCTTGCAAGTGTTTTTCTATGCAGAATATGCTGACAAGAGCACCTTAGCAAAACTGTAATTTGTGAAGTACGCTGCTCATGGCATTTACAAGGGGCCCATGCCTTCAACAGAACTTACCTATATGCTTAGATTATGTACGTGCTTAAATACATGCACAACAAGTCTATAATTAAAATTTTAAATTAAGTTTGGTCTTTTAATGAAAAATGTCACCCATGAAACAGCAGACTCGAGCCTAAAAAAAAAGAAGTATCTCCCTTTTATTAAGGATCATCTCATTAATTTTATGCATGAAATCCTCTGTAGACACACCTGGAACTGCAATATCCAGTGGTCGAAATGAACGATGTCTGAGGAAGAAATAAAATCCTACTTACTTCTGCCCATTTTAAAAGGGCAGTCAGTAGAACAGGGATCATATGGGGAAAACTTAAGCTAAAATACATTATTTTTCATCCTCAATGACAATTTGTTTGGTTTAGAACTAGCGACCCCGGCTAAGATATTTGCATTAGGCTGTTTGGATTGAGGTCATCATTTCTGTTCTGCAAGTGACAATACACTCCTGCTATAGGTCACGCAGGAGAGCAGACTGTAATTACTGCTGTTTATATCAAACAAGGGGCACTTACTGTGGTCTAATATTTTTTGAAAATTGGATGCTGCTGTCGCTGTTGCTGGGGTATTTTGTTTCAAGTGACATACTTGATTATCAGTCTCTATGCTTTGCTAGTGCCTGCGAGCGATAGAGTCTCTAGTAGAGCTTATAAAAAAGCATTGCTTTCTGAAAGGGTCCTACAAAAAATCCATTTCTTATAGACAGCACGAGAGACCATTTAAAAATCATTGGCTTAGGAGCTGTGGAAAACAGTCAGCAACGCAAAGACGTCAGCGTTGTGGAAACGAGGCAAATAGGTGAACAGGGACACCACCACCATTTCTGCTACAGGAAGGTCTTGGTGCCACCAGTTGTTCAGAGGAGAGAGGCAACACCGCATCCCCGTACTGCAAATCCTTTGGGCAGCGAGCTGCTAATAACTGCTGTGGCACTTCGTAAATCGGCGATAACACCCAGGGTTGCAGGAGCACGGGACGGGAGGTACAGAGCCCGGCCCCGAGCTATTTACGCGCACAGGACCTCGTCTATGGAAAGTTTTGCCGCTCACACGTAACTTCACGTGTATTAAAGGCGTCAGGACTAACCGCTACCTACAGCACCAGGTGGGAGCGTAAATGCGCTGCTGAAGCAGACACCAACCAGCATTATTTTGATTTACGCAGAATTATTTAGCTGCCAAAAAGGCTTCGCGTTATCTTACTTTCCTCACACAGCAGTCAACACATCTCTACGCTTTTTATTGCCTGAAATACACTTAAATCGCATTATCAACAGTCACAGGGCTACGGCTGTAGGCGCCACGTTCACTTTACCCTTTTCAGTTGCACCTTCCTGTTAAAATCCAAATATTTCAGGTATCACCTCCTTAAAACTGCGTAGGAGCCAAGGAAAGCGCCCGACAAATCTTTATGCCAACGTGCTTTGTAGCAAATCCTAATTGGGGGGGGGGGTGTCAATTCTTCCACCCCTACGGGCTTCCCTCCGCCGCCT